GCAGCAATGCCAGAGACGGAGACAGAGATGGGGCCATAGAGAGGGGGAGCAGCTGAGAACTCTAGATTCATGGGAAGACAGGGGCTAAGAGCTAGTGGCCAGGAGGCTGACTTGCAAAATGTGCCCTTTGGAAATGTAAATTATTATATATGCCTGAGTGTTTTGTGTTCGTTTTTTTTAAAAGCTAAAGTAGCTAGACAGAAATACTGTTAACTAATAATCATTGTAATGAAACAAGGTGTATGATTTGTTGAATGTAAAACTGATGATCTGCCCTGTAAACTTTTACTCAATCCAAAACAAAAAATTAACAACAACGACAAAAAGAGTCACTGAATTGGAGATGACTCAACAGTACCTATCTTTCTGGTTATCAGACGTTATTGGTTTTTAAATTATTTTTGTGATAAATAACATTATGGACAGCAAAACAAATCAGTTCTACTTTAGTACTGGCAGCTCTTTTATCTGCTAACATAATTTTACATATGCATTAGTTTTTGATCAACAGAAAAAAATGATGAACAGATAGCTCCTTCATCCATTACAATATGACTTTCTACAGCAGGGGTAGGGAACATCCATCCAGCCCACGGGCTGTATAAAGCCTGCAAAATTATTTGGTCTGACCCTGCCATGGCAACCACAGTTCCAGCCATCACATTGTTGTTGTTAAGTGCCATTGAGTCAGTTCAGATTCACAGTGACCCAGTACAGGGTTTTTGAGGAGTGGCTGGTAAGTTTGAAATGCCAACCTTGTGGTTCAAACTGACCTTGAAGTCGAGTGTGAGTGCTTCTCTTATGGCATCACACCAGGCTATCCCGTTGTTGTTGTTGTTGTTGCTATTAAGTGCCTTCAAGTCAGTTCTGACCATAGCGACCCCTGTGTAGGGTTTCCACGGAATGGCTCTCACATTAGGAGTGAGTTAATTAAGTGTTTGACCAAATATAGCAGGCTAATGTTTAAGTTGATAACATAAATTATGTTAGAAATTTGGGCAGAAAAAAGATTCCCCACCCCTGTTCTACAGGAATAAAAAGAAATCAGCGAAAAGAAATTATACTGAAAGGGGGCAGGGGGAGGTCTTTGTTGGGGGTTGCGA